ATATATATATATATGCATGTATGTATGTATGTATGTATGTATGTATGTATGTATGTATGTATGTATGTATGTATGTATGTATGTATGTATATATATATATATGTACATGTATGTATGTATATATATATGTACATATATATGTGTGTGTGTATAGTTCTCCTGAACATTCATATTTCACAGGAATATTAAGCTTATTTTGTCAAAGTAGAGATAAATAAAAGGGGTACCCTAACCAAGAAGATGAGGTATTCCTATTATTAGATGTCATTCTCAAGAAATTGGGTTATTTGTCAAAACCCACCACTGTAACAACATTACATGAAATGAACTGCAAGATCACTTCCTGATTGACATATTCAGGTTTCCATTCTAGATCAACCAATGTATTCTGTATATAGAATCCCATTCAGATATACTTGCAGCATGAGTTGTGTAACTGTGTGATAAAGAAAAGTAAAATTTTCTGCTCAGCAAGCAAGTTGATTACAATTCTTGGTTAAACTTGCAGATGTTTTTACATATAAATTTTAGAAAGCTAGGACAGTTGTTTCTATTTTTTGTTAATATTTAATCACCTGTTTATTGGTTTCATTTTAGGTAAACTACTATGTGCAGTCACACATTCAAATCAATGAGTATCGAGATACTGTAATATTGGTATGTAACATTTCTTGTATTCTACATGGTTGAAGCACATGCAGTTCCACATTTTCATTTTCTTTTTCATTCTTTTATGGTAGCCTGCTGCAACTAAGAAGTATGGGCGGCATATTGGGACATGTGTGAAAGTTTTGGATATGACTGGTCTGAAGCTTTCGGCACTGAGCCATATAAAGGTATGTTCTCTTTTGTTTTCAAGGTTGAATGTGTTGACACACTTGGTTGTGCTTGTTTACGTCAGCTGTAGAATTTTGTTCAAATCCCCCTTCTGGAGCTCTTAAAGTTCTGCATGACAGTCAAAGTGTTTCCTTTTAAACTGTTTAATGGCAAGCTTGATTTTTCATCTTATTCATGACTACTTTAGATTGATGGTATTACAGAGATGGTCCAGTTATTTATATTTTCCATGCTGACTTTGTTCAGGGTAGGCTGGTTTGACAAAGCAACCTCTAGCTGTGGTCTGAATTGGCTTGGAATTATGCCATGAGATGGTGTTGACACAAACCAAAATTTTCACACAACAGCTAGCCAAATCAAAATCTTGTATTAAGCCTGAAAGACTAGAATATAAAATCTAAACTCAAGTCCTGTATGAATTAAAATATTGAAGTAATTTGCCTTGTCTGTGATGTTTTTTGTACATAGGTGGTCAGATTTCTTGGTACATAATATAAGAAGCTTATAAAATATGCATTAGTTTTATATATACAGAACAAGATACTTATGTTGCTCCAAATCAGGTGAATGAGGAGAAATCACAAATTTCTTTCTAATAGCTTATTTAATGTTCATTAGACAATTTGATGTCATAATTACTTTACTGCATTATGTTATAGCACTTGTCCACCCATCTGATGGAGCTTCTTTGGATCTTTGCATCCTTTAGTTCCTTGTGGTCTGTTTTTTACGTATTAAGTTCTATGTTTAGTTAAAGTCAATTAATTGCTAACTTCTGGCAATGTTCCCTATGCAAATACCTCTGGAAACTATTTTGATTGTCCTTCTTGTTTTGGTTATGAGTGCAGCTATTAACCATCATATCTACTGTCGATGACCTTAACTATCCTGAGAAGACAGAGACTTACTACGTAGTTAATGCTCCATATGTATTCTCAGCATGTTGGAAGGTAGGTGAGAGTTTTCTTAAACATTTGTTCTCATCAAGATAATTTTAGAATACATACTGCATTCTGATTATTATGCCAATGGTGCTTGCTGTTTCTCTGTATGGTCAGGTTGTGAAGCCTCTTCTACAAGAAAGGACAAGAAGGAAGGTACAAGTTCTGCAAGGTTGTGGCAGAAATGAGCTGTTGAAGGTCCAAAAATTTCATTAATTCTTTTTCAAAAGAAGCATTTTTTATCTTTGACCACTAGATTTTATTACTATGCAACAACTGTAATATTTGGTGTGAATCTTTAAATGATCTCCTCAAACTTGGCATATAATTGCTTTGGAACCAATTTATGGTTGCTTTCCTAATTTAACATTTGCATATTGCAATTCGTATGATATATATGTAAGTTAAATATTGTGGCCTCTATATTTTCATGTAGAAACCGAGCACTTGATTAAATTTTGATCAATTGCACTTGCTTGTCTTAGCAGAGTGCTTATTACTATAATGTTTTATATCTCTCACTAGTGTTTTGAAAAGGCGCTTGAGCGAGGCGAGGTCCGAGTGCCTCGCACATTGGTCGGGTGACGTGCTTGCCTGAGCCCATGCACTAGGTACCTTGGGCAAGTGCCCGGTTAAAAGCGAGCAATCGAACCATATTGTCAACTCTGGTTCGATTGAATAGTAACTTAGTTAGTTCAATTGAACCAACTAAGTAGAGTAAACACTAACAGAAACAACCAACCCGCCTCGACCCACTAACAGTAAACCCTAATTACTCTCATTGCCTTGACCCACCTCTGGTCTATCGATGAATAGGTCTGATGCTTTCTCTGTCGCTGATGGACAGATCTGATGCTTCCTCTATCGTCGACGGATAGGTCTGAAGTTCCCATTGCTATAGCTTTTGTGTGCAGTTCCCTCCACAGTTGTTGCTTTCGTGTGTAGCTCCTTCCATCGTCGAGGGACAGGATTGCAGCTTCCTCCGCCACCGATGGACACATATGAAGCTTCTTGTGCCCCCAATATTGCCGTCCGTAGCTTCCTCCGCCACTATTATCGTCATCTGCAACTTCCTTTATCGCTGTTGCCACTATCTGCAGGTTCCTGCATCATCGCCACTCTCTCATTCCTTATGTTCCACCATCGGCGACTCCTCTTCTTTGCCCCCCTGACCCCTCTATTATGCACTATTATAATTATTGTTAATAGTGGATTGTTAATCTTTAGAACTGATATTAAAACTATTGTTACCATATCTTCCAATAAAATAAAACTGATATTAATCCTTGGAATTGTTGATCCTATTTAGAACTACTAATCCTTATCTAGCACTGTTAATCATATTTATCAATTGTATTATATTTTTTTATATATTAATATTTTAGAGTGTCTCGCTTCGCTCGGGCTGGCGCCTAAGGAAGTGCCTAGCGTTTCGAACATTTTGGGACCTTGGCGTTTAATGCTTTGAAAACACTGTCTCTGACATTGTAATATACTTAGTTGCCCAAATCTATAGTTCCGTATATCATTAATTTTTAGCATCTAGAAGATCCTTTAGACATGCATTATCTGTTGGCTTTTTTTGCCTGATGGTTCTGTAATAATTACCAGCATAGAAGATATGTATATACAAACAACAGTTGCTAAGTCTCATTTTATGTCTTCCTAGTTAACTTTTTGCTCATCATCTAAGTGTCCAAGATGATATTTTTTAGATGGATTGAAGTACATATTTCTGAAATGAAATAGATGAATCTTATGAAACTATATCTTTTTATGGTATGAGAATGAAATCTACTTGAGAAAGTACAACTGATTCTTGCAAGATAGATTCCCAGCTTAAAATTTTATGGCTTGTGCATTCCATTTACAAGACGTTGAACCTTTTCTTTGACATCAATAGAAGAGGTAATCATGTTCTACAATATAAAAATTCTAATTTTGTAGACCTTTGACTGCCAATGTTGAATCAAAGGAAGATGTATTGTTTAGTAAAGAGAGCGAGTTTACATCTGAAAGCTGTAAAGTTAACCTTCAAATGAAGCAAAAAGTAAATGGCTATGTTTGGCTCACCAATGGAAACTAAGTATGCCTTGTTTGGCTTTCATTTTACTAGCAAGTGCATAGTTTTTGTACCTCAGTATTCATATTTAAATCTTGATTAAATATAAACCATTTTGAATGCCTACTTCATAAAAAATGCTAACAGTTTTGATTGTAGATAATGGACTATTCTTCTCTTCCCCATTTCTGTCGACGAGAAAATTATGGGTCATCTCGGATTTCATCTGCTGGTGCTGATGTCTGCTACTCCTTGGACCATCCCTTCCACCAACAGCTCTACAACTACATCAAGCAGGAAGCACTAACCCAGGAATGTGTATCACTCCTGAAGCAAGGATCCTTCCACGTAGATGTGCCTGGAGCTGACACCGAGGGAACAAATATAGTCAAGGCATTAGAGTCTGAGCTCCACAAGATCGGCGGCCATGATGGTCTCACTCACCCACTAAATGGTCTCCGGATCAATGATGCATGAAGATGGTACTAGATGAGGAAACCATTTGAAGCTGCACTGCAGATGTGCCTTGCATTTGTGCTGCTGAGCCTTCAACCAAATTTGTTTTCAAGTAGGAATATTTAGGGTTCCACTAGAAGTCCTTGCAATCACTTGATGCAGGCTTTGATGAGGAAGATGGAGAGGCAATGAAACCTTCTGCTGTTTTAACAAATCAGGAACAGAATGAAGGTTGGGACTCATGTAATTCTATTGCCAGGAGACCAGTATTTTGAGTACCAAACATTGTATAGGTTTATCTATATCTATATTTTCACATGAGATGATTGAAATCATCACGTCAGATATGATTTATTGCTCCTGCTATCATCAGTAAGCAGTAGAAACATGAAGAATGATAGCAATACTGAGATGCTACTGCTGCTGTTTCCACAGGGAAGCATTTGCTATTAAATCTTACCATTTCTCTTGATGCTAAAAGCCAATCTCTTATGTCATAATTTCTGTGCCATTAAAACATTGGCCTCAGTTTTAATGTAATTTTTAATCAATAAATTGGTGCTAAATATTTCAAATAATGCATTTTTGGCTTTTGATTGATGGATTGGGGCATAAAAAGTAAAACACTTGATGATTATATATTGTTTGGTTTCTCTAAAGATATATGCAAATATGATTTGTATTGCAAATAAAATGACGACAAAGAAAACCATTTTGTGATGGATAAAGAGTAATTTTATTAGATAATTTTATAGTATTTTCAATATGTCAATAAATACTATCATGTAATATAAATATATTATAATATAATATTTATAAAATTATTATGTTGTATATTTGTTATGTATTAGTGTCCTCACTGATACTAAGAAGACATTGTAATATAGTACAAAAACATTGTAAAATAATATTTTTTATTTTCAATAATATTAAAAAATATTATAATATAATAAACACTTTATTTTTGTATTAGAAAAAACCAAAAATATTAGAAACAAACCAACAGTTTTTACTATAACACAGTAAATCCTATATTTTCAATAATTATATTTTCGTATTACTAAAAATATTATATGGACCAATCTATAAGAAAAAAAAATGATTGAAGGTATTTCATATAATTAAATATATATATATATATATATATATATTATTTAAAATTTCTGAAAATGATTTACACTTCTCGCGAATATATAAATGCGAAGAATAAGATTATTTTATGCAGGACGGTATGAAATGGCAAGTTTATAACAACTGTTATGAAGGGTGACTCCATAACGGCCGTTACATCCAGCTTTTCTTTTATTTATCGATTGTGATTTGTTATTTATTTTATTATTATTATACGGAAATAAGCGCAGAGCAGAAGCGAAGCCGTCGGCGATACGAGAGAGAAAGAGGTAATAACCGGAGGCTAGAGAATTCCAGGAGACGAAGCATCAGGTGATTTATATACCAATCCCTTTCGATCCCTTTTCTGTCTCTTCTGTTATGTGGATCTTTGTTTCTGATGCTTTAACGCGGTGGATTCATGCGCTTCCCAAGAGCGAACTCGTCTTAACAGTTGATTTCTGAGTTGCGATGTGTTTTTAGGAGGAAATCAGAGGTGGATGGCGTAGATCCATAAAAGTTGTTAGCTTTTTGAGCCCTTTGGAACTTCGATTCTTGGTAGTTTGAGCTCTTCGTCAAATGGTTTTGTTGCAGTCCTGACCCAATTCTTCTTGTTTTCTACTTGATGTTGCAATTTCACGTTTGTAGTGAGCCTACGGTTGCAAGGTGGTAACTTTTTGTGTTCTTCGGTCTTCTGTTTGGAATTTGTATGCAGATGGAGGGACGCTCTTCGACGATTGCGTTCTTGGCGTTCGTTTGCTTTCTATTGAGATTGGGATTAACTGATGGGATCAGATTCGTCATTGATAGGGAAGAGTGTTTCTCCCATTCAGTTCCTTACGAAGGGGACATGGTTTACGTGTCATTTGTTGTGGTCAAATCTGATACTCCCTGGCACTACAGCAATGATGGTGTTGATCTTGTGGTACGTTTTCCGCTTCCCTTTTCTTGAAGAGCATGTGTTCTGGAGACTAGTACATTAGAATCAAAGTATATATTCATGAGATTATTCTTCTTTATCTCTGATTAGTAGTTGACAGTGACTGCTCAAGTATTGTACTTTTGGATCTAGAATGCGATTTGGAAGAGCTTACTGAGGCCATACACAAATCCATTCGACCCATTTAACTTTTTAAAGAATCATATAAATCATTTCTGATGTGGGTTCATGAACCAAGTTAAATTAGTGAGAAAGGTTATAGCTGAACTAGTCCCTAAATGTTCTGATTTAAATGGTAGTGCATTATTTGAATAAAGAACTTGTTGGTTGATTAAAGGTTAGATTAGGTCCTGTAGCTTTCCAAACAGTATTGGAGATTCCTTTTTCTTAGTTTATCCTCAGATAATATTTAAAGTGAAAAATAACATGACTCCTTTTGACTGTCTAGTTATTTTAGCTCAACAAAATGAGAGAACCCCATTTTATTTTCTTTTATTGTATTCTTTTTCTACTTCATTTTTTGGGGGGTGCAAGGGGAAAAATATCCAAACAGCAAAATTATCTTCAACTTTGATGGATGTCTAATAAGGAAATATGGTGAGAGTCATGGTATATGATGTTAAATAAAAAAAAACAGAGGAAATAAGTTATAAGAAAATTGTGTTGATTTTAATGTATAGTATTCAACAACACATTCTTTGATGCACTTCCACTGTTTGGTATGTTTTTGTATTTTTGTGTGGCCAATGGACACATTCCATAATTTACCTGCTAATCTAACTTGTCTGGGAATTATGCCATGTTGCTATCTCACCGTTGAGTTGTCCCTATTACCCACCTACAAATAGGGAAGCAAGAACTAAGGATTCATTATTATGCCAATGATTTCGGTGATATTATGATATAGAATGTTTTTCTGTAGTAACATCATCACAAACCTTCTATAATTACAAGTTTTTGCCAGGTAAAAGGTCCACATGGTGATCAAATCCATGATTCTCGTGACAAGACCAGTGAAAAGTTTGAATTTCTAGTTCAAAGGAGTGGTCTTCATCGTTTCTGTTTCACGAACAAGTCTCCTTACCACGAGACGATTGATTTTGATGTACATGTCAGCCATTTCACGCACTATAATCAACATGCAAAAGATGGTTAGCCTGCAAATGTCTTACTTCTGATGTTTGGGATGCACTAAACTTCTTGTAATGATCTTCTCTTACTGTTTGCAGAGCATTTGGCCCCTTTGCTGGAACAAATTGCAAAGTTAGAAGAAGCTCTTTACAACATACAGTTTGAGCAGCACTGGCTGGAGGCTCAGACTGACCGCCAAGCACTGGGTATTTCCTATATCTTTCTTTGGTAACAGTAACTGATTTGACTCGATAGGAGAAAACTCTTTCAGGAGTAAGATGGCTAAATTATTCTTTCCTCCTGAGCTTTATCCACTTGTCATAATTGTATTCCTATACTCCTAATAGATGGACTTATAGTGTTGCAGGGAAATTGCAACTTTCCTGTGAGACATAAATGATCATGTTATGATCACATAGACATTTTTTTATGTCAATGTCTTAGCATGCTTTCTAAGTCCAAGCAACTCTTTATCAATAAGAAATGCAACGATCTAGACCTAGCTAGAATGGGCCGATAAAATTAATAGATTGTAAAATTTGCAAAACTGCACCAAATAGACTAATTCAATTTATCTCGTAGTTGATTATCTTAGAAAGAGCCTTTGCTTGGAAAAGCTTGCTAGAAATATTGTCCATTCTTTTTCTGTAACAAGGCATCTTTCTGTTTTAATCAAGATAGCTTTTGTGTTTTTCATCTTGGATAGCTTAAATATCGACTATCTGAAGATTCATTGTGATCTGTGCAATTGCAGTAAATGAAGCAATGAGCAGGAGAGCAATCCATAAGGCACTCTTTGAATCTGCCGCCCTTGTTGGGGCTAGCATTCTGCAAGTCTTTCTCTTGCATCGCCTTTTCGAGCGAAAGCTTGGCACCTCCAGGATTTAGATCTGTCTTGTTGCAGAATGGAGTTTTAACATCCTCAGGTATTAGTGTTCAACTTTGAGGATGCGTATCAGTTAGCATGATTTTGTGCCTTAGAGTAGAAAATTTGTAATCTTGTGTTTTATTTTACTGCTGAAACAGTGCAGATTAGCATTTGTTTTTATCATTTCTGATCATCCTTGTTAGGATAATGTAATGGATTGGCTATGACATGGTGTCCTTTAAAGTTTTGGATCTGTGACATTGTCATTGAAGTATTGCCAGTGCTTACAGAAATGCTACAACCTCAAGCAACTGAAACAATTCCACAAAAGCAACAGGGAAATCTGAATGAATCACAAAAGACAGAAAAAAAAAACATTGGGATGCCTGCTCCATGATGCCTCTATCAGTATGGGATCTGATGAAAGTTCAAAGGCAACCAATGCCTTCTGAATTAAAAAAGGAAAAAAAGAGAAAATTATAGTATAGCATGTCTTTTCCTCCAAATACCCCACAAGCCAGGATGACTTTTCTGAAGCCATATAACTTGGATTCTGTGGGGTTGACTTCTCATGTTCTTCTGCTTTCTCCTAAGAAAAAGAACTCAGGGTGAGTGTATTAATCTTTCATCTCATGAGCAGATTAAGTAGAACTTAAGCTAGTTTGGTCAAGTGATGTGCACTCCATGGGCTTGGCAAGACGCACCGGGTGTAACCAAATTACCTTGTTGTACTGTGCAGGTGGTTCTTTGATGCTTCTCTACTACATACTGACAAACTATACATGGATGGGTACAGACTTATTTAAGGAATTTTGTCTCTGTTACATTTGGCCAGACTAGTAGATGGGTGCATGCAACATATTGTTGGTGTTCTACCTGTACTATAGGACATAGAGAGGCCCCGAGTGTTGCATTAGTCACCTTCTTGCTAGTTACCTTATCCTTTAAGATACTGAATGGTTTTTGCATCTGAAGTTATGGTGTATGTCTTACATCGATCCTCTTTTTTGTCTTCAGTGATAAGGTTGCATATATTGATTCTCTTCAGATCCTGTTTTAGTGGGATCTTCAAGTGTGGATTGTTTTTCTCCTCTTTCTTGTTAACCTTTGGCTGTTTTTCAATCACAAAAGAGTGACAACTATTTCTGAAAAATATCTCCGCTTAGTTATTCCTAACTTAGCAGACAAGTGTTCTTTTGTAGCTTGTGTTTCATGCCAATATGTTCATAATGAGATCTATGTGATCCTGTCAATTATTTTCATGCTAACCAATTGGTCACTTGGCTACTTAAAAGGACTGCTGTGAGGCAAAGAAAGGGATAGATCATGAAGGGGAAATTGATGATGGTAAGAGCCATTCAAACTCCAAACTGATCATAGTAAAAAAACAAATGGTGGCTCATGGTGCATCAGTTAAAGCCAACCTTTCCATCCATATGAGTCAAGGAAGCATGTGATATGCCACTACTTAATCTAGTCTCTTGCAGGGGTTAAGGCCATATGACATCTTCTCATCCTAATCTAATCTGAAAAGGTGCAAAAATATGACTGAAGGGTCATCACTTGAGCAGGTTTAGATTGACCCTTGATAAGATTCTTGAGTGTTTCCATCCTCATCAAATCCAAACTCATTGGATTCAGTTGAAGTTGACTTCTATTCTAATGTTCTTCCCCAAAAATAATTCATAGAATTTCCAATGGCCACAGCTGGTGACACTTGCTCAAGGACAGCTAAGATTACAGACTTATTGACCTTTTTTTATTTGATGGATGAAGAATATTAAAACAAATCCATTATGATGTCAGAACTCTCAGAACAGGGGTTATGGAGATGTCTGTTCATCCCTGTAGCAGGCCATGACTAACTCAAGACAGTGTTTCTTCTGGCTGTTCCATGAGAAATTTCTTCCTGGTGATTCACACAGACACAGATGACATGTGGATTTGTCTCAAGAAAGGATAAGAATACAAGAGATGATTTTTCAGAAAACAACACCTCAACTGTTCACCTTTGCTTTCCAAGTTGGAGTTCCCTTGTCTCTGCCTGGTGCTCCCACAGGTGTACATTTCAACAATCCTCCATGCCATGTATAAAATATTTACATACTGAGATATAGATTTGTTTATATGATTTTTTGTCCCAAAAAATTACATTTTGCCTTTGATTCTGCATAAAATCCTGCAAGCAGTATCTATCAAAGCATTGTGTTCATGTGGCTGAATGATTGTCTACTGCAGATACTCTGAAAGAGATGTGACTGTTCACTCTTCAGGATCAGTATGCTTTTATTTCCTTTTCTTGAATTGTAACCATATCAATCTCTTCATTTCTCCAGTGAAACACCCATATGATTTAAAGTTCTTGATCTCATTTTTTTGACCAAATAAAAGCAGATTTGGAAAACTTTGACCTGCTGGAATGATGGATCATCATCCAAGTTACTTGAGTGATTTGCTGCCTGTTAAAGGTACATGAATGATTCAGGGAAATGCACCAGATGAATCTAAAAGCAGAACAGCAATTCACCAAATCTAATAAGGGATTTGGGTTCGATGAAGGAGCAATATATTCTTATCATCTTGTGATCACACATCAAGAGATCTCATTCCAAATATGTCTTTTGAGAGAAATAATAGTAAGTGTTCATGGAGCCATATATATAGAAGAATCCGCAGTATCCGGAAAGCACGTGAGCCACAGATAAAGTCACGTGCTTATTGCCATTTCCCTCCCTCCCTTTTCTTATAATTATAATTATTTTCTTTTTTAAAAAAATCCATCGCTCTCTCTTCCCCCCTATATTTTTATCCATTTCAAAAATAGCAATAAATGTTTCTATTTCTTCGTCCCCCTTCGCCGTTCACATCCGTTCGCTTCCTCGAATCGAGCTCGCTCGAATCAGGAGACCACACCGAGCCCTTTCTTTCCCTCGAATCCAATCCTCCGATCCCCACCGCCTTCCCGGAGTGCGATCAAAATCGATCCTCTTGGCCCCTCTCGCGGCGAATCCGACGATTCGAGAGGCGTTAGAGAGGCGAGGAGCGTAGAGGTACGGCCTTGGCCGGTGTTCTGGGGTGGGAGATGGGCGGGGTGACGTCGACGATGGCGGCGAAGTTCGCATTCTTTCCGCCGAGCCCGCCGTCGTACGGGGTGACGGCGGCGACGGAGGGGCGGCTGGAGATGACGGACGTGCCGCCACGGGAGAATGTGGAGGCCTGGCGGCTGCCAACGAGGCGGGGGACGGAGATCGTCGCCATGTACGTGAAGAATCCCGCGGCGAGCCTCACCTTGCTCTACTCCCACGGCAACGCTGCGGACCTCGGGCAGATGTATGAGCTCTTCTGGCAACTCAGCAAGCACCTTTGCGTCAACCTGATGGGGTGAGGGCTTCGTTTCTCCCTTATTCCTCGATTACCTTCCATAAAAGGTGCTCTTTGTTCATGTAGTAGTGGAGTTGAACATACAAAGTTAGGCAAACTCTTCCTTTCTTTGCTTTTCCCAGAACTTTTCGTTGGAAGATGAATTTGATCTAAATTTTTGTGCCTTGGTAGTTGCCACGACGCTTTGTCAATGCATTCACTCTTATGATGGTTGAATTTTCACTCAGATGGCTCTTTGAAGAGAACATCTTTCGTGTGCATTTTAACTAGAATTATGCAATTAGATCTGATTGTTGTTTTTTCTGTAGTACAGACTAAAGCAATTATTTACTTATTGGGTTGAACAGATGGCTTTAGCTTGTTAAACAGACTAAAGCAATTATTTTTCGTGTTTGTTCTCATGTTTCAGTGGGGGTGTCCTTTAAGAGGCTGTATATAGTGATATAGTGTTACAATAGTTTTATTGTCTTATCGAATGATTCATGAGGTTACATAGATCTGAAAGATTAATGGCAATAATGATTTTTTGGATTCATCCACAGCACAGCAGGATTTTCCAACATCCTTTTCAAGCCTAATAAATGCATGTTGTTCCCCCACCAATGAAGAGACAGCCAAAGCACCTATTGAATGGTCTTTCAAATAACCAAATGGCACTGATTTGGGGACCAAGCAAGTCCCCAATGTGTCTTTAAAGATGATAAGATTATACATAAAGAAAAAAGCATGCATGTTATATAGTGAAAAACCACACAGGTTTTAAATATCTTGAACTAGGACAAATGATTCTTGTTGTTATTGATTGACATGCCAATTTTTACCTAAATTTTAGGGAATTGGGACTTGCCAGGTTAGTTGCCTTTTGAATCCGGGTATCATAAGTGCTACCGGTTCTTTCTTTTCAGTTAGTCCATCATGTTATCTAAGGTTATGAATTAGTTGAGTTTTAGAGTGCACGCTGATAATGTTAATAGTTTTTGTAACATATTGCTTGTTCCATTAATTGTTGGAACACAAAGCAGATGAATAGTTAGGTTGTGACATTAGTGCGCATGTAATAGGCCTGTATTTATGTTACAGTACAGAATGACTTATCTAGTTGAGTAGGTATCCTGTGTTTTAACTGGTAGTGCATATATTAAAATATGCTACAATAAAGGAAAGTAGTAACATAAATGCTTTACTTGAATGGTTATTGGCAAAAAAAACAGTATAGCAAATGCTTTCTAGGATATCTTCCCTTTTTTCTTTTAAAAAATTGTAATATATTGAGATACTGAGATTCCATGCAACCAGAGTTGGGTGTTTTTTTGCCTCCTGAATTGATCTTGAGTATTTACTCTTAATCTGATATGTTTGCCCTTCTGGGTTTCCCTGTGGTTAGTTTGGTGTTTCTGATATATGAATATGTCATTGAATATCCAAGTCATTTTTCTTCAGGTATGATTATTCTGGATATGGCCAGTCTTCTGGAAAGGTAGGACAATTATACATGATTTTCTTGGCCCACTGTTTAAATAGTCTCACTGTTTCTCTGCTTGCAGCCGAGCGAGCAAAATACTTATGCAGATATAGAAGCTGCTTATAAGTGTCTTGAAGTAGCTTATGGTACCCATGCAGAAGACATTATCCTTTATGGACAATCAGTTGGTAGTGGGCCTACTTTGGAACTAGCTGCTCGTTTACCTAATCTGAGAGCAGCTGTTCTCCACAGTCCCATTTTGTCTGGTCTCCGTGTCATGTATCCTGTAAAACATACATACTGGTTTGACATATATAAGGTTCCTACTTTTCTTCTCATCAAAAGTTTCAGTCTAATTTTTCCTCAGTTGTATCTAACAGAACTTGTTGACTCTCTGCAGAATATTGACAAAATTCCTTTGGTCCAATGTCCAGTGTTGGTAATACATGTAAGTATATTGCTATAGTGTTTATGATTTTTCATGGCAGGCTCTAAAATTCTTCATATAGAAGACTGTGAAGACTGTTGTATTGATCTTTTTTTTTCTGAACTAAAGTAATCAGCATTTAGTAATGCTCTCGTATATCAAATGTTCATTGTGCCAAAAGGAAGTTATGCAGGCTAGAATGAATATCAAGACAAGAATTTTGTTATAAAATTGAACAAGGATATGGTATCATCCTCAATCAACTTGGCATTGATCTTCTTTTTCTTGGTTATGTCATGTTTAAATTCATTCGATCATTTTGATAAATGGTACTAAATTCTAGTTTGTCAAAGCTGAGTTATTTGATTTGCATTTTGATAACCAGCAGGCATAACAAGCAGTTCACTTACCATCAGGCCACAAAAGTTGACATTTAAAGTCGCATCCATGTTAAACACTTGTATTATATTATAGTCATAGGACAGATGAACAAGGAATCATTGAACTTGGTATAGCATACCTGGTTTTGAGATTACAGATTCTTTGGCAAGTAAATTATAAAACTTTATGAAACTTTTTCTTAACAATTTCATGCTCACTAAGCAACTCTTTGTTTATTGAAATGCCTTATCTCTACAATGACAAAATTTGTATAAGCTCCTAATAGTAGGCATGATTATGTAGATAGCCCTCTATTTGAAAATCCCTAAATCTGGAATTCTGGATACAGTCATGTTTGTTGACCTGGTTAAGCCACATTATCTTTTATTGTGGGATTTTGCATCCCAATTAAAAAAAATGGCACTATGTTACAAGGTTCTCAATTTCGGTTTGTACCGGTTTACCGAGCCTTGCTCGGTATACTACATATCAAGGCATACCCACGGTACATCCAAAAAGAGCTGAAAAACCTCCAAAAATACCTGGAGGTAATAGTCCAAATATTACCGAGGCATACCAATCGATACATCTCAGTAACGGTCCAAATTCGGGGCGTACCGATCAGTACACCTTGATAACAGTCAAAATCCTAGGCGTACCAATTGGTATGCCTCGGTATCGATCAGATTTCGACCATTATTGCCCGGTACAGACCCTGTATCATCCGATACAGGGTCAAAACACTGGTACCACCTAGTAGAGGCCGGTTTGCATCTCGGTATCCTCTCGGACCGGTACATACTGTCTGTATCGGACAGTAAACTTCGAAATTGAGAACCCTACTATGTTATACACCCCACCTTCACATTTTCTTGTGCAGGCATACTTGAATTCCCTATGATTTTTCTCCTATGATCGTCCTCCTGGTTTGCATACAATATTAAAACCCTCATTGGTATTTGCAGGGAATGGTTGATGATGTTGTGGATTGGTCCCATGGAAAGCAGCTGTGGGAGCTGTCCAAAGTGAAGTATGAGCCTCTATGGGTCAAGGCAGGCAATCACTGTAATTTGGAATTGTTTCCAGAGTACATAAGGCATCTTAAGAAGTTTATATCAGCCATAGAGAAGGCACCCCCACCTAGAACTGCATCTACTGAAAGCTCAGTTCCACAAGATCCTCCTAGTATGAGCTCTGATCATTTGGACCACCAAAGAAGCATGGATAAGATGGAAAACCTAAGATCAAGTACTGATCATAAGGAGAAGGGTGGGAATAGTACGGACAGGAGAGAGAAGCCAAGATTAAGCACAGACAAGAAAGAAAAATCAAGAAAGAGCTTTGATATCTCAGACAGAGCGAGAAATAGTATGGACCAGCAAGAGAAACCACGAAAGAGCTTTGAACGGTCTGATAAAACTCAAAGACATGCTAACTTTTTTTTAAATTCATATACATAGTTTGTTACTGTATTATACATGTTTATGACAACTAAATCTGTGAATTTCAATAGTTTTGGTTACAGAATATTCCTTCTTCTGACCAGTTATCGAAATGGTTGCAGACTTGGAGGGATGATAAAATCGGTCAGCTTGTGCAATATTGATTGTTTCAAAGGCCCTGCCTCTCAGTCCGAGGAGTGCAAAGGTCAGTGCTAGCATTGGGTTGCTTGAGTAAGGATATAGTGATTGTTTTAATTGTATGGAGTGTTCTGGTGTTGGAACCATATCTCTGTGTTTAGTTGAGAGGAGGTAATTCTTCAGTTGTTTTTGCCACTTGTCTCTCATAAAGGCAAATTTCTTGTGCAGTCCAGTGGAATTAAAATATAAGCGATGGTTTTCAAAGCAGTGTTTTGCATCCTTTATGTTGTGTTTTTATGTCAAATTGCTTGTAGTCTTGTACTCACAAGTTTGTTTCCAACTCTAGCTGTAAAAGGAGATCATCCATCTTTATCTGAAGAAACATCAATTGGTCTGATAATGCTTCCAGGAATGATGCACCATCTAATGAAGATGTTACAATTCAATTTGCTCCTGCAATATTTGGTGGATCAAACTTTGATGTAATCCATGACCAGAAGCTCCTCCCAGTCACTTTTTTTTACCCTCTTCTATGATTTGCTAACATACTTGACTTCACTTAGTTCCATGATAATCCAGAAAGCATGCAAAATGTGATGATCACTTCAATAGTACACATAAATCAGTTATTTCCATTGCTGAACCAAGATAATTCTTCTGTAGATTAAATAACAAGGTATTCATCAACATAGCAGTCTTTCTGTGTACTATTTTGGTTGTTTCCTCCACAAACTGAGCTCAACCTGCTCTCCAAACACACCCAATCCTTTTATTCTATTCTTCATTTCACTAGTGAATTCTGGGCCATGCTGATGCTTGTATTACATGCAAAACATCTACTGATTTCTTCTCTCTCAGAAGCTCTAAAATGTTAGCAGAAAATAAAAGGCAAAAGAAAAATCTCATAGCAAATTTCTTAAGGTATTTTTGTAATCAATATCCAAATTATTGCACTGCAAAAATCTTCTGCTTGTGTGGTTCATATGAAAGTGGTGAGTAGTGTTGTGGCAGCATCTATGCCACATGAGAGATTTTATGCAAAGAAAGAACTGTAATCTAACATCACACACTACCACAGTAAGGAAATCAAACTCCCTATTCTAGGATGACCAGTTGTCCAAAGATAAGTTTGATCCCAAAATTTAACATTCATGGCTTTTTTTCTTCCTCAAATTCAATTTTTTTAGTTACATCAGCTTTGTCTACCACATTATTTTAGTATTTGAGATAAGGTTTTAATTAATTATAGCTAGCATTGTAGTTATAAGTCTACATATTGGACTACTTAATTGAGTTCATGCACATCTACTACTTAAGAAATATCATCTATATTTTTGGAGAGATATATATCTCCAATAATGATATGTGTATGTGAATATATTGAATCACCCATCATCTCCCTCATAAAAAATAATTAAAATTATCCTTAAAAATGTGAAAAAATATATTTTTTATAAAAATAATATTTCTACTTATATAGCTAAGACTAATATATTTTATTTTTAATATCTAATGTTAAAAATGTTTATATAATTATTTTAGATCATCCATCATCTGTTACATTAAATAAAGTGATATATTTAAGAAATCATTTTTTGGTGCTACCCTAATCCTTGTTCTAGAAGCCTCTATAAGTTTCCATGTTTCCTCACCCAAAACCCTCACTTCCTATCCAAAAGCCTCTCACAACTATCCTCAGCCCAAAGCAGCACGAAAGGAGAAAAAGATCTCATTTTTATCGTTGATCTCTGGCGGATCCATGGCGCCCGTTCTAACCCAGAGCTTGGGCACTTCCTCTACTGCCTTCCTTCACCCGCCTTCGACGCCTCTGAGATCCAGTTCCGCCCGAGCGCTGGGGTTCCGGCCCTCGTTTCTGCCCCGACCTCTCCTTTCCAGGAGCAGTTTTCCTGCGGCGGGCCTTAGATGCAAGGTCCAGAGGAGGGAGCGCAGGATGGGCCCCCGGTGCGAGGCGGTCGTCGCCGAGAAGGAAGCCGACGAGGCTTCGGGGGAGAAGTTCGAGTACCAGGCTGAGGTGGATCTTCGTTTCTTTTGATTCTCCTTTCCTTCTGATCCACTTTTCATCTTTATCTTTAGTCATGCAAGTTGGGATTTTTCGGCCTGTAGAGCAGGAAAGCTTGAATCTTATCTGGTATGCTTGACACAAGAAAGATTTCTTCTACCAGAGTATAGTTCTTCTGATGGGTTCTCTGATGACAGTTTTTGTGCACATCTTGTGTTGCTAGAATGTCTTTTTTCCAGTTTTTACGCTTTTCTCTTTTTCGATGAACAATTCTTTTTTTCGTTTTGGGGCTTTACTACAGGAAGCGTTTTAGTACTACTGTTTGATTAAGTGGGTTGACATCCCTGCTTGAATGCGACTTGCTTTTATATCGAGTACTTGGCTTTTCTATGTCGTCTTTGATTCAGAAAGCTTGGTTTCTACCTTGCTTTGCATTCTAAGTTATGTGAAGAGATGTGCATTTTCTGAGTCCCGATTTATTAAAATTTTTAGGGTGACCTGCTGAACCTATGCATGGTCTGTTATTATACATGTTTGGCTGGTTGGGTGTACGAGCATTTAATATAGTGACGTTATTGACATTCAATCCGGCTGTAAAATCTCATGCTTGATATAAATTCAAGAATTTGATATGAACATATCATTTAAAGATTATTTCCTCATTATAACTTTTTAATTTGCTATCACCATTGTCTTATGCTATGTTCTGTTGCCATTTGATGTTGATATCCTATATAAAGGCATACTAAAAGATTTGCTTGCCAAAATCAGTTGTTATCCACAGACGTGTACTTTCTAGTTTTATGTGCTCATTAATGTTTAACTTATTCATACACCCTGATTAACTGCAGGTCAGCCGCCTATTGGACTTGATTGTTCATAGTCTGTATAGCCACAAGGAAGTGTTTCTTAGGGAGCTCGTAAGGTTAGTCTACTGATTTCTGCCAGTTCTCCTTTTGTGGTTTCGTCTGTCCAACATGTAGATGTGATGCATTTATACTTAATTTTGCTTAAATCTTCCTTGTTAATCATGCATTTGGTTTTTATCACTAATTTTAATTCTACCATTTGGTGCAAATACATAATGGGATACCTATGGAAGTATATAACATTACAAGACCAAAAGCACTAGTGTTGATCATCTTGTAATTTTTTTAAAAAGTTATTTCTCAAGAGTGATGGATATGATTGGCACTAGTCATGTGTAATATGGGAATCATCCGAGGCTCAATTCCTTCTTTGATGGTCATATGAGATCTTGCATTAATTTTTGGTGTTGATATGCTTGTATATCTTTTTCGGTGGGTTGATACCAGACCAAATTTAGAACTAAAACAAATTGCCTTTTCATAGTGGTTTAAGAGGGGGTTCAAGTGTGACTTGTGTCAGATAGTACATCCTTTGGCTGCATACAGAAGATGATTATTTTTCACTCTTAATTTTTTTTTAAATTTTATCTGTGAGCCAGTGATTTTAATAGATGCTCGGGCGCTCGCCTAGGCGCTCGGGCGAGGCGAGGCCCGAGCGCCTTGCTTCATTTCTAGGCGGCGTGCTTCAAAGAGGCGAGGCCCAAGCGCTCGGGCGAGGCGAGGCCCAGGCGCCGGGCGCTTCGGGCGAGCGCCTGGGTTAAACTAGGCGACCGAACTAGCATTTTAGGTCTGGTTCGGTCTCCGGTGCTTTAGTTGGTTCAATCGAACCAACTAAAGCATCGATATCAGTGTGACTTCCCCAACCCTAACCTTGCTTGCCATTCATGCTACTGCCGCCGCTGCTGTTGCCGCTCCCACTCCCGCTGCCACTGCTCGCTGCTACCGTTGCCACTGTCTCCGCTCGTCGCTTCCACTCCAGTTCTCGCTGCTCGCTGCTGCCGGTGCCACTATCGCCGCTTGCCGCTCCCGTTGTCGCTGCTCGTTGCTGCCGCTGCCACTGCCACTGTTGTCGCTCACAACTGCTGCTCCCGCTCTTCTCAGTCAACACCCTCGGTCTTCTGACTCTTCCCTTACACTCTTCTCGTCTTTCGATAGTATACTGTTAATAGTATACAGTATACAGTATACTGTTAACAGTATTAGTGTATATTGTTAACTATATACTAGTAATAGTATTTGTATTTATTAGATTAATTTAATAGTATATTTTTATTTTAAAATTTAAATAATTATATTTATTAATTATATTATATATTTTTATATTTTAGTGCCTCACTTTGCTCGGGCGAGCGCCTGAGCGAGCGCTTAGTGCCTCGGGCGTTTTTGGACCTTGGCGCCTTTTGGCACCTAGCGCTTTTTAAATCACTGCTGTGAACCATGACTGAATAATGGCATTTGATACTGACTACTATAACATCAATGGTAGAGTATTCACATATTTTGAAAAACATTCTACTCAGTGATTTAAAAAGCGCTAGGTGCCAAGGTCTAAAAACGTCGAGGCGCTAGGCGATTTAAAATTTTAAATAAAAATATGCTATTATACTAGATTTGGAGTGTAAGGAGGCAGAGGTAGCGGGAGCAGGAGTGTAAGGAGGTAGCAGCAGCGGGAGTGTAAGGAGGCAACAGCAGTGGCAGCAGAGGTGTAAGGAGGCAGCGGCAGCGGCGAGCAGCGGGAACAGGAGCAGGAGCGGCGAGCAGCGGGAGGCGCGAGCGGCGACAGTGGTAGCGTTTGCGAGCATTGACAGCGGCGAGTAGCGGGATCGAGAGCGGCAGCGGCAACGACAACGAGGGTTAGGGTTGGGTTGTCACTGATATCGGTTTTAGTTGGTTCAATTGAACCAACTAACTACCGGAGACCGAACCAGACCTAAAATCCTGGTTCGGTCGCTTGGTTTAACCCAGGCGCTCACCTGAAGCGCCCAACGCCTGGGCTCGGGCGAGTGCCCAGGCGGCGCCTCTTTGAAGCGCATCGCCTGGAAGTTTAGCGAGGCGCTCGGGCCTCGCCTCGCCTCGCCTGAGCGCCTAGGCGAGCATCCAAGCGTCATTTTAAATCGCTGATTCTACTTATCCACTCTCTGTATCTCTTTAGAGAAATAGCTGAATTAGTTTTCTTTTGAGGGTACAATTCCTTTTTTGGTGTGCAACTTGTAATCATGAGGTCTTTTCATCCATAATTCCTGTCATTTTATAGAAAAACGAAGCTGAATTTATTTCCTCTTGGGTGACCATGATGAAACTTTATATTTGTGCTCTAACTGCTACCCAGCACCACCAGATATATTTATACATCTGAAGTTTGGCTTATTGTGGGGATACAATTGCCTTATATGCCTTTCTTCTTTCCTTCTTTGTGGAATATGGAGTCATGAGGTTCTTTATAACACATTTCCATGGTATGATTTTAATTAGTATATTGTGTCCGCAGCAATGCAAGTGATGCTCTGGACAAGTTGAGATTTTTGAGTGTGACGGATTCCTCGCTACTTGGTGATGCTGGTGACCTGGAGATACGGATCAAGCCTGATCCAGACAATGGAACTATTACTATAACGTACTTCGCCTTTTCTTTTACCCTTTTTCGCCTTATATTCAGATAGAGCAGTATGTAATTTTAGTTGTTTGAACTTGCAGAGATACTGGTATTGGAATGACCAAAGAAGAGCTGATTGATTGCCTTGGGACTATTGCTCAGAGTGGTACGTCAAAGTTCTTAAAGGCTCTCAAGGTATACACCCGCTTAATCATTTGTCAACTATCACACATTCATAAGTTGCATGTACGTAATGCTGAATCTTGTGCTTTTGTTGGGCTTCTGTTAATGAATGATATGTAGGAGAACAAAGATGTGGGAACAGATAATGGTTTGATTGGCCAGTTTGGTGTTGGATTCTACTCGGCTTTCCTTGTGGCTGAGCGAGTACTTTTTTCTTTTATGTTTAAACTTTGTGTTTATTTAATTGTTCCAAAGATGTTTGCGTTTTATGTTCTAAACAATTATTGCTGACTGATGAGCAGGTTGTGGTGTCAACAAAAAATCCAAAATCTGATAAACAGTACATATGGGAAGCAGAAGCAGATAGTAGTTCTTATGTGATAAGAGAAGAGACTGACCCTGAGAAGTTAATAAAACGTGGAACTCAGATTACCCTTTTTTTAAGAGTATATGCCAACCCTCATCTCTTCCAACCTGTCATCTTGGTGTGTTCAGTGGTCCTAAGCCTTTTGCTTGTTTTACAGGAGGATGATAAGTTTGAATTTGCGGATCCAACTCGTATCCAGGGATTGGTGAAGAATTACTCTCAGTTTGTCTCCTTCCCCATATATACATGGCAGGAGAAATCAAGGACAGTGGAGGTCAGGATGTAGTTATTTGCCAACTTCTTTCTGTTGGTTGATCATGCACACATTTACACCAGAGTCATTGCTATGTTATGTTCTGTATGTTCAAGGCCTTTTTAGCTTCAGTATGTGAAGAAAATTTTGCAGATTTATTGATGAAGCTCCTTTGTGTTTATACTCATCTGTTTGTTGTCTAATTGTGTTGGATAGGTTGAGGAAGAAGAGGAACCAAAGGATGGAGAAGAAACAAAACCAGAGGTAGGGAGTCTGATGGCTCATTTAGTTGGTTTTGTACTTAATATCTAATGTAATCCTCTGTTTATTGGCAGGAGGAGAAGAAAAAAAAGAAGAAAACTGTAACCGAAAAGTATTGGGACTGGGAATTGGCAAACGAGACAAAACCTATATGGGTAACACAAGCATTCTTGCTTTATGAAGCTGCACCCTGTGGCTTAAGTGTCCTAGACTTTTTACACCTAATGTATTAATTAGTATTTTTCTAAACTAGTTTCATCCATGTCAATTCTCAGATGCGAAATCCAAAGGAGGTCGAGAAAGATGAATATAATGAGTTTTACAAGAAGACATTCAACGAATTCCTGGATCCTCTTGCTCATACCCACTTCACTACCGAGGTACTTGCTATCATCAGAGCTTTAAAAGATGAAAGAAAGATCAACATGGCATGGTCAAATTTGACATAGTTTTTAAATTGAACAGGGTGAGGTGGAATTCAGAAGTGTTCTCTACGTTCCTGGGATGGCACCTCTAAATAATGAGGATCTAATAAATCCCAAGACCAAGAATATACGCTTGTATGTTAAGCGGGTATTTATTTCAGATGATTTTGATGGTGAGCTGGTAAGTTTTGATTAAATTCTTACTCATGTTAACATGTTTGTAGTTATGTTGTATATTGAACAAGTTGTGCGGTTCATACGTGTCTCGATGTGCTGATTGTGACACCGAAATTGCAGTTCCCACGGTACCTGAGTTTTGTGAAGGGAGTGGTTGATTCAGATGACCTTCCTCTTAATGTTTCGCGCGAGATTCTTCAAGAAAGTCGAATTGTAAGTTTGATTGTGTTTAAGCACATTGGTGATAGTAGCTACTGAAGTACAAACAAACAACATTTTTCTTGCAATCTGGAATTATCTATTTACAAACTATTCTTGTTCATTACAGGTAAGAATTATGCGAAAAAGACTTGTTAGGAAGACATTTGACATGATTCAAGAGTTATCTGAGAGTGAAAACAAAGAGGTTTGCAGTCTGAGCGGACAGTCTCTACTTTTGTAGTATAATCTTGTGTAGCATTTGATTAATCATATCAATTTGTTGCAGGATTATAAGAAGTTCTGGGAGAATTTTGGCAAGCTTCTGAAATTGGGTTGTATAGAGGACTCTGGAAATCACAAGCGACTGACACCTTTGCTGCGCTTTTACTCTTCCAAGAGTGAGGAAGATATGATAAGTTTGGATGAATATGTGGAAAATATGGGTGAGAACCAGAAGGCTATATATTACTTGGCAACAGACAGCCTCAAAAGTGCCAAAACTGCTCCATTTGTGGAGAAGCTTGTCCAAAAGGATATTGAAGTAAGTGTTTGGCTTCAAATTGTTTTAGTCAATAAAATGCTAAGTAATTATGTGTTACATGCAGGTACTGTATCTTGTAGAACCTATTGATGAAGTTGCTATACAGAATCTACAGACATACAAAGAAAAGAAGTTTATTGATATCAGCAAAGAAGACCTAGAATTAGGTCAGTTTTTTTTGGTGAAGTAGTTCTTCTTTTCTTGTATTACTGGCATTCGGATTAGTGACTTCATCTGTGAGTTGTTGATGGAAATTTCTTGGTATAGGTGATGAAGATGAGGTAAAGGAAAGGGAAGAAAAGCAAGAGTACAATCTTCTATGTGATTGGATGAAACAGCAGCTTGGTGATAAGGTAGCAAAAGTCCAAATATCCAAGAGGCTTAGCTCTTCACCATGTGTACTTGTTTCTGGGAAGTTTGGTTGGTCGGCAAACATGGAAAGGTAGTGTTGTTTTCTTAGTTGATATATTCGACACCTTATGTTGATTTAGTGGCCACCTTTCCCATCAGTTGCATCAAAATACCCTTGTCCAATGGAGGCAATGCTTGTCTTTTGTAGACTCATGAAGGCACAGACCCTTGGTGATACATCAAGCTTGGAGTTCATGAGAGGGAGAAGAATTTTAGAGATCAATCCAGAGCACCCCATCATTAAAGACTTGAATGTAAGACACATGATCTGCTACTAAATAATGTCATTGTTTGTTGTGAAGGACAACCTTTATTCTGTGGAAAAATTATTATAGATAATTTATAGGAAATATACTCTACATGCATGGTTTATAGATTTTTCTTGTGGACTGCCTTAATAATAGATATCTTGTAGAGACTTAATTCGTATATACACAGATTTCTTGAACTGTTGTTTTATTGCAGGCTGCATGCAAGAATGACCCGAGCAGCACAGAAGCAAAGAGAGCTGTTGATTTATTGTATGATACAGCTCTGATCTCTAGTGGTTATACTGTAAGTCATGTTGATCGCTTCTCTTTGTGTCAGAAAGTTGCTGCTTCTTTTTCTTGTTCCTAACACAGAGATATGATTCATCAGCCTGACAGCCCTGCTGAATTGGGAAACAAAATATATGAGATGATGGCCATTGCTCTTGGCGGAAGATGGGGAAGATCAGAATCAGATGAAGTGGCAGAAGGAGCCAACTCAGAGGCAACAAGCTCCGAAGCTGGCTCTTCAGAGACAACAGAAGGGGAGGTGGTTGAGCCTTCAGAGGTGAGGCCAGAGAACGATCCTTGGAAGGATTAAACATCTCAAGTAGGAATTATTTCTTCTATTAGATTCAATGAGGCAATAGGCGATTATCGTGTAGGTTTGAGGACACTAATCACTTTCATGAAATGAGTTGAACAGGTGATATAAATGAGAAAAGCAGCAGTCACTCGTTGTGTTGGGCATGTTCAATTTTCCTAGAACACAAGGCAATCAATTTGAAAGAGAGAATCTGATCTTATAAGTACTACTCTTTCAAATCTAATGGAATAATCAAAAGTCATTTTTGGGAGATTCAAGGATTGGAATTGTGTTTATCTTAAATGCTTCTCAGGTGATTATATAGAATGATGGATGTCTTGTGCCCATTAGATTTGCAGTTTTCAGAACTCAAAACGGTAAGCAGTGCCATATCTACATAACAAGGCATCTTTTTCCAGCTGCAGAATGAAATCTTCAGTGTCTATGATGGTATTCCTCCAAAAGCTGCATATTGAATTTATGGAGGTTGAAATCTTGCACAAACTTTGACTTCTTTGCCATTGTTAAGGTGATTAGCTGCTGTCTTGTAACTAATGTTGTGGATTAACTAGGTTTTCAGAATTAGGGTTTATTTTATTTAGGATTGTCTGTGTTAAACTCTGTTGACTGGTTTAATTAGTAGTTCATACATACTATAGATTCTGCCACAGGTTAAGCTGATAACTGTTGTCTTAACTACCTAACCCCAAGCATAAGTTGAGATTGCAATTGATTTGCTATCCGAAACACTGTCTAATTAATTCAAAAAAAAAAATTCAACCGAACCCAATTTGATATTAAATGAAAAACATACCAATAAAACTACATATTTTCAAAGTCAAAGTTTTCGAGTTATTATTTGAAATTTACTTAATGCATAACACTTGTATTTAATCTTACTTAACATATAACAGTCTAATGTCATCATATCATTTAAAACTTATATATATCTATCTTATATATATATATATATGACTAATTATAGATTATATTATGTAATTAGTTACCTTTAGCATATATCTATCTTATATATATATGATTAATTATAGATTATATTATGTAATTAGTTACCTTTAGCAACTCATTCTTTATACTTTTAAAAATTATATTAAAAATTATATATTTATAAAAATAAATTATTTAATTTTATTTCTTTTCATGTCGATCGATTCTTGATGAAAAAATTATATATTTATTAATAAATTAAAATAAAATAGAGTCATCACATGCTTAATAATAAATCATATAATATTTTCGTCAAGAAACAAAGTTAAATGTTTTACTTTCATAAATAAAAATATAAGTATTAGGATACTAAT